TATCTGTAAGGTGATTAGCAGAATTTGTCAAACAAACAAGCCTGTCTACATTCCCATAATATTCCGTCATAAATCTGCTTGTACAAATCTAAAGCATTTTGTGAAGCAAGAGAAATATACATTTCTTTAAATATAAGCAAGAAAATCCTTGTATATGCAGGCATCGCTGAAGTTGGATACATGATCAAATTCATCAGAAACAAAGAGATATTGGGGAGCCTTGATATTAAAAAACAAATCGCTTCAAAGGTGGAAAGTGGAGGCTGTTCTATAAGTGGAAAAGTTCTTTAAGTTCAGATGTATATTTACTTTCATGAAGAGGGTTAATTTTTCACTTTCTGATTCTAGCTGAACCACAATAAACAAAACTTGTTTTTGCACATGGTTACCCAATTACTTAAAAACCTACAAAAAGGTCCGGTTGCTCACTTTGCCCTTATCATACATATGCGTATAAAATTATAATTAAGGTTCAAATATAAGAACATTAAAGAAATGCAGAGTTAGTAGTGACACACATGGGGGATTGCTTCCCCCTAAAGAACATTAGTAATTATTGCAACTAGCAAATTTCAAATCAAACGATTATCTTTGTATCCTTACGTCCTCCATCCTCCATCACCCTGAGCATTCACACTAATTGTGCTTTTGTTGATAAAATGATAGATGAGAATACCTCATTGATCAATTTTAGTGTTAGTATCAAGTTTGTGAACATTTGCATACTCTCTACCAAAGAGAGAAAAAGCTAACTACTCAGGAACATTTTAAAAATCGGCTTAACCCCTACTTGCCCTGCTCTTACACACACACACACACACACACACACACACACACACACACTCACAAACACACACACACACACGGAGAGTGCCCTAGTAACCGTTTCATGAACACCATTCAACAGCAACTATTTTTAAAAGTACTTGAGACCTATATCCCCATATGACTACTGCTGGAAAAAAAGAGCAAAAGTTAGCAAACAAAGATTTTCTTTTGATGGTATTATTCACTAAACAATATTATTTACCAGTTAATGAGAATTAGTTCCAGAAATTGACTATATAGAGCTTTACAATAAAAGGCATGCAGACAAAAAGGCAAATCTGTTAAATTCAGATTTGGGGGAACTCTAAAAACCAACATTAACTCTTCCATATTTTTCTGAGGAATACCTTAATGATAAGCACTCGAACACAAATCATCCTTTCTGTTTCCCTATGGGGCAGTAATGTATTTATTTTCATAATCATTTGAATTGTGAGGAGCAAAATATAGGGTCAAGAGTCAAAAAGCCAATAAGGACAAGCCTGAAGTGGAACTCAGGCCCTCTGACTCAGCCCAGAATTCTACAGTGCCTGGGATGTCTCAGAGATTTGAGCGGCTTCATCTTTGAGATTCCTGATACAACTAATGGAAATAGGATTGGAATTTAATAATAAAAATGCTGACGGAGCCTTATCTAGAGCTGCACAAATGGTGCCATTCTAATTATGCTGCATAACTTGAGCATTACCAGAAAACTTGCTACTTTTAAATCTGACTAATCAACACTTGGGTGCTTTGGTTGCCACAAATTGCTTTATAAAAACACAAGATTTGTCAAACACCACACATCATATCTGTTGTAAGACAAAGTATGCCACAAACAAAAGTGTGTAACAGACTAAACGCCTTTGAAATAGCAGTGTTAAATTAATCCTAAAAGTTCAGTTGTTCTGAAAAGCATTTTAGCTAGTAATCATTTCAACAATGAAATTATTTGTTCACACACATAGCAAAGCTAACAAAATTTAGAATTCTTAAAACAGTTTTCTAGCTGTAGGAATACCATGTTTGCTTATCACCTACATCTCCTGACTTGGCCAAAGCAACTGGTCACAAAATAAAATGAGTACTTTCCAAGCATATAAATGTTTTTTCTTCGATTTGCCTTAACATTTTGTAATGTGATGGCATAATTTGGGCAGAAAATGGCAAGAATACAAAGAAATAAGTAGTATGTTTAAAAGCAGGCATTGCCTTCATATTTAAATTTTTTCTCACTAAGCAGAGCTTTTAATTATTGATTTGTAGGATACTTAGGGGGAAATGTCATAACCTGTCGTTGTTACATAATCCTCTTCCAAGAGAAAGTAACAGGTTATAAAATGCCATTAAAATGATCGAAGCTGTCAGCACGAATGTGAACAGAGACAGTTTTCAAGTAAAAGGAGAGCAATCACATGTGTATGGATGCTTTACTGTCCGAGCCTTTTTTTTCCTTTTTAATAAAAGACTTTTCCCATATTCTTCTCAGCTTGTAAATCCTCTATAAAGGTGCCCTGTTTGGTAACATGCATGTGGCTTATGCTAGAAAACAACTGAGGAAGTCATTTATGAAATATTAAAATAAGGAGCACCGAAAAAAAAAAAAACCCTGGCAGAGTCTATTTCTGCAGAGAGTTGGAGACAACATCTAGAAGCAGCCGTAGAGTTACCCTGACCCCTGAAGGAAGGAATCAGGAGTTAACTTCACATTCTATTTTCTACACAGTACGAACAGTGAGCCTCCAAATCCACTGGCACCATACATCAATGTTTAGGCATATCCTTCAGAAATAAGAAAGTCCTCTAAAATATTGGGGCTCAACATTTCATTCCACCAAGCCATCATTCTCACTGAGGTGTGTGTGTGGGGGGGGGGGGGGGATCTTTTCAAAGTTACTTAGTGCATGTTTGAAAGCCTATGTCTGACTCCACGGGAAATAAACACAGAAGAAGCATCTCATGACTGTGTCAGAAAAGCCATTTAGCCTTCTTTGTAAAAGAAATGTGAAGTAGAATAGGAAATAGCACAGCACAGCTAGACAAGGCTATTCAACAGGGATTTCCACAGAGTTTCAGTGAAGGGATATATGGAAGGGAAATCTGTCTGAAAATAGTTGGAGGCCAAAAGGAGGTGATGTGCATCTTCTTTTTAAAAAGGAACTCCAAACCAAACATCAGGGGAATCGTATTTTATTCTGCAGGATTCCCTCCTTTGTACAGTGAGTCTAGTGTATTTATTTCATCTCCCGGTAAAAGTCACAGGCGGCTGCAACATGTCCTTTAAGCCATTCAGTAAGTAAAAACTTGAAATGGATTGCTCTTTATTTCTGGGATTGGTATTAGTGCTCCTTATTACTGGGATTGGTATTAATAATGAATCCATTGCCATTTATTTTTCAGCTGAACAGGATATCATTGCCTTTGAAGGTTTTTACTTCTCTTTCCCCAGAGGGTTAAAATGGGCCAGAAAGATGTTTTCAAGGCAAAGATTAAGGTACCAAAGCTCCGGTCCCTGACACACTGTGGAAGCAATCACTTTAACGAGGGAACCACCAGGCGGAAATCTGCATAACGCTCTACCAGGAAAAATGCAAGCGAGGACCCTTGAATAGTCATTCCCTTCAGTCTTCCTTTCAATGGATTTAACTTTCTGCCCAGTTGGGGTCACGTATTTCAATCAGGGTACAGAACTGTGACCTTGGCTCGAACCAGCAGCCCGTTTACTCAATGGGGCACTTGTGAAACATTGCGGACTCCTTTTGACTCCCCGCGGGTGTGGCTAAAATTGTTCCCGTCCAACCCTCAAGCTTCTCTGATCTGCTGTCCCTCGGAAACTCGCTATGAGAAAACTCAAGCTGAATTCGCTCCAGAGAGCAGGGCATACAGGACCCTGGGAGCTAATCTTTATCTACCCTCCTCCTCCTTGGTTAGCTGTGAGAGCCTTCAAAAGTTAACAGGGTGATGGAGTCTCCCTCTATACAATCATTTCATCTCACTATCGTTGACTGAGGCTCGCTGATGTAATGAAGTTACATAATCACCGATTATGCACGACTTCCATCCATCTTCCTACATATCCACATCTCTTCTCCCCATCCTTCAGATCAATCTACCAGGTAAGATTTATAACACATGTAAATGCTCCATTCTCTCATCAGAGCTACTGATTATGGGACTTTAGCATTGCAGTACAGTGCACTGAACCGCGTCATCAACATTGATTTTTTTTTTAATCCCATTTCCCAGGCAAAATATTCTTAAGCATCCTTCTTGCTCTTGTCTCTAACTTTTTACGGAAAGGGTGAAATAGATGCAGCAGATGGAACACATCTTTAACTTAGGGGTAAGGCAAGTGTGTAATTGCCTGCATTTCCAAAGCTGGCGGCATTGCAATAAAAGGATGGTCTCTGCTTCCAGACCTTCCACTCCTCTGCACGTGGGTCACAGCTTCGGCTATTTAGGATTTAGGGGAAATAAATATATTATTGGGCAATTGAGGAAGAAAACATTATGGTGATACTTAAACCAGTACTGTACAATTCTCTATTTTCATTTTCAGCTTTTTTCTCTCCCCCCCCACCCCCTTCACTCTAAACGCCAATCCAGTGGATAAAAAAGTAGCCCAGGGCACTTAATGATCTACAATAACCACAACCTAGAGAACAATTAACAATGATTAACACCTTAAAGTTTAAGAACTTGACAAGTGGGATGTCCCTGGTCCCATTGCGGCTGTGAAATGCAGCAGAATGCTGCACTGAGTTGAAAACATATTTCTTTTAATGCATAAAGAGTAGCTCGTTTCATTTAAAACAGGGTTCTTCGGCAAGTGTTCCTTTTACTGCTACTACCCCTTCCAGAACACAAGAGCCACAAATATTGCATCCAAACAAAAGAGTGTCTACCCAGAATTAATTCAAGACACTCTTCCATATTTAAAAAAAATGGGGGGGGGTTAAACAATGCCTTGATTTATTTTCAACTACACTCAGAATACAGACCCACATACACACACATGCAGAGCACACACACCAACACACCCAACTGCAGTTATTCCATTCAGTGCCAATAACGGCCACATCACAGCCATCAATGCGATGCAGCAGTGATCCAAGTCACCCATTCCCATTACAAACGCCCAAGTTTGCTCATGCCACTGACGGGTTTGCATATATAGAAAATGACCTTACCCACAACAGTCTTCCAAAATTTTCTTCTCTGGATATCACTCGGTAAGGTAATTGATGGTCATCACAATGCGTATTCAGAAAAATCCACGTTTTACTCCTATGTTCTTTTTCTTGGTTTTGCTAGCAATTAGTATCATGAACAAGATACCCATTCACAAATGCCAAGTTCACCATAAAAGCAGATAATTCCATACAGCTCTCCCCCTACAAGACTGCCTCCAGTTAGTTCTCAAAGTGCCCGATTGTTTGGTGAAGATACAATCCAGGTGCAGAGCAGGGGAGAAATAAAGAAGAAGACTAGGGGAAAAAAAGAAGAAGAGGCAAATCGAAAAAGAGAGCCTGAGAGAGGAGAGAGCAAAAAAAGGAGGGAAGAAAAAAATTTAATAAAAAGAAGGAAGGAAAAAGGCCGATAAGTGAGGAAGTCTGTTAGCTCTATGACAAGATTCTGAGTCTTCCTTGCAATCTTCTTTATACGTGTAGCCTTTCAGATCTTTTTGGTCCCGAAGTAAAATTTCCAGATGCGGGATGCAGCCATAAGAAAGAATCCTATGTATATTTCACAAGTATCCCGCAATAACAGATCCGACGGGGTTTTCCTTGTACAGTACTGCTATGTGAAAGCACACAACCCCTGCTGTTTGGGAAGGTGTCTCCTGGGTCCTAGCTCTCTTCGGCAGCCCCCAAAAAATGATTTTTCAAAAAAGAGTGAGGGAAAAAAGGCAGCTTTGCGTTTGCCTTGAATGATGCTAATCCTGAGCGAAAATGACAAGCAAATCACGAATAGCAGGAGACCTTGATTAATAGCCACAATCCACTCGAAATATCCCAGGGAAGAAGGAGCGAAAACAAGAAAGAGAAACTGCAATGCATAAATGATTCCAGTGTTTCTACAAGATCGGTTCATTTGATTGAATGCATTCTCTGGTTTGCTGCAAGTCATAAAGAGGATAGTGTTACTGCCACCCAATGGATATTTTAGTACTAGCCAATCCACAGAACGCCACCGCTTTGCGAGTTTTAGTTTTCCGAAGACTGAAGAGGAAGGAGAGTAGCCTGGGAATCTTTGGGGAAAGACTGTGAAAGGCTTCAAATCAGGGGCATCTACCCTCCAGGCAAAAGTAGATCTGCGCCGCACGCTTACCTAGTCTTGCGTTAAGCCACTTTCGAATTACGGTTCCATTTCTCTAGGAGGCAGAAAGCTATAGAGAGCGATCCTCAAACTGACATGCTCATAGAACCTCCTTTTCAGTTCTTCTCTTTAGAGAAGATTTGTCATTGCGCGCGATCTCATTTTCGCATCCTCTCTCTCTCTCTCGCTCGCTCGCTCTCTCCCTCTCTCTCCCCTCTCGCTCCCTCTCTCTGTCTCTCTTCCCTCTTTCTCTGTCTCTCTGTCTCTCTGTCTCTCTCTGTCTCTCTCTGACACACACACACACACACACACACACACACACACACACACACCCCGTTTAAAGCAGGATTTCTAAAGTGAGCGGCGGGGGGCGGGGGGGAGCTTCCTCCAAATCTCCCACGGCAAGGTGATAATTGCTTCGAAAGGGCAGTTTTGCAAAGTGCTAGAGTCTGTATTGGTATGTAAACTGGGAGCCCTTCCGGCTGTAACCCTCCAGCAGCTCTTTCGGTTTCGGGAGGAGCAAAAGTCTTTCCCGAAGAAAGTGAGGCTCGGTGGAAGGCTGCGGGGATTGAGGTGGTGGGTGGAGAGGAACGCTGGGCGGAGAGAGGAGGAGTTGGAAGAAGCCCCTCCCGCCGTGCATACTATAATACAGTTCGCCGCAGGATTGTGAGACGGAGTGAGGAGAGGAAAAAAAGAAAGTAGGCACTGGTCAAATACATTAGGGTATGGGCGAATACAAGAATTCGCGGTATTGCATTGCAAATTTGGAATAATTACTAATACAGCAATTGACTGATACAATTTTCGCTCCTTAGCCCGTTGTAACTACCTGGGTTACTCTAACGCTGGCACGGGTCTGTTCTTCTCAAAACTCGAAATGTATGATGCAGAATCACCTGCGTGTTTTGTTAACATGCAAATTTTGATTCCGTGAGGCTGGAGTGAAACCTGTCTGCATTTGTAATCAGTTGGTCCGTGGGCCATAATGCTGCTGCCCATCTGTGGACCACACTTGGAGTCGGCAGACTCCCGAGAAGTGTGCATATTTACATTGCAATCACAGGATTCTCACAGCGTGTGCAAGGTCCTTACAAGAGTGCCAATTACTTTCCCAATCGCCCATCCTTTCACTGCCCACTTTTTAACCTTTCCCAGGCTCTCTGGTAGCTCCCACCCCACCCCCAGGCCCCACCCCCCCACCCCCACCCCGTTCTAGACCACCCTAACCTGCAGGCCCACCCTAACCTGCAGGCCCTAGGAAGTTTGCAAAATGTAATGTTTGACATGCAAAATTTAAGGTTTAGCAGAACAAAGCAAAGATAAAGCAATGGAGAGGCATTGCCACTTTGGTCCTATGGAATTCTGTCTTTTACTTGGGAGGGGGAACATAATTGCAGATGAAAGGAAACCTCAAATATTTGGTAAAATGTGAGTTAAACAATGCTAGCTGAACTCTGGGCTAGCAGAGGAGAGACTGAATGAGGGAGACTGGAGAGGGAAATAGAAGTGGATTTTAAATTTTCCAATCCAAGTGGAGGGAAGTATGCAGGGTTTATACCAGGCTTCCCAGGGGGAAACATGACCAAATTAACCTCCTGTGTGCCAGCCCTTCTCTTTGCTCCCTGCTCCTTCCCCACATGCCCTTGTCCAGAGAAAATTGAGGATCGGAGAGGAAGGGAAAACATATGCTGCCCTCAGAGCGAGTAATCTGTATTCTCATCTCCTTTTGCCCTCCAATTCTAAAGAAGATGTAGACCTCAAGTGGACTTGAAGAGACTCGAATTTAATTGCCTCAAGTAAAGTTTAGAAGGAAAAGTCCTGGACTAGAGACTCAAATTCTAGCATCGGTTCTAGTTTGGTTCCCTGAGTGGCCGACAGTTAGCACTTTAATTCCTCGTGGCCTCAGTTCCATTGTTGAATGGCTGCTTGCAACAAAGCTGTAACCAAGGTACACCTTAATTTTATGTGATAGAGAAAAAATTCAAGTCTTCCGTTAGCAAGGCTGCTGCCTGATATTACACACATGGTAGACTGTAGCACTGTCCTCCCATTGTTCATGAATTTGCTTGAGCGGGCACCAGTAATGTCGCCATTGTGAGACTTGTTACTGTTTTTGGCATATCAAATATCGAATACGCCACAGGGAGCTTGCCAGGCTCTGCCCTGCTGGCAGGATACTCTCGGTATCTTGCTGGGCTCTCCAAGAAGGATGGAGGAATCGAACCCCGGTTGACCACGTGCAAGGCAAACGCCCTACCCGCTGTGCTAACATGGTAGGACTTCAAAGTGCAGAGAATATCCAGAAGCTTTGAAGAGTGTATTAAAGATTAAGATGGAGGAGCCGTGATCATTTCCAAACTGTGGCAAGAGACGCATTAAAAATGCTTTCTCTCCAGACCCAGGAAAGGAAGTATTTGTTTGAATCCGAGGTGAAGCACTGTCTATTCCTGGATCTTACAGAGCCAACTGTGGGCCTTGCTGTTTGTTGCCATGGGATCCTCTTTGTGCGAACTGTCTTGAACTGTGTGGGAACATTTTCCTTTTGCCTTCCTTCAGTTCTCTCTCTAACTCTTCTGAAGATATGTGTCAGAACAAAATGTAGCTGCATTATTGCCAATTAAGACTAACAGCAGCTGCAAGGTGCATCTAATTAAGGGTTTTAATTACTTCACCAAATTCTCATTTGCAGATGTTTAAGGTATTAAACAATGTATTGTGATTTTAAAAATGAAGTAAAACTGACCTCCCCTCAAACGGGGCAAAAATAAGGTACCCAAGGCAGTGATGGAAGATTCTACCTTGGCAACTTGTTGGAGAACAAACCACAGTAGTCAGGATGCAAAAATAGTGTGTCTGTCCTTACTCTTTGAACTAAATAAAAAGGCAGACAAATCTCAAGATAGAGCAGCCGTTAAGAATTTACTCTTCAAGCAGATACCTTGCATGTTATTACATAGTTCCCAAATGCTCTGTTCTTTTGCTTTTCCAGTAATGGGATGGTTAACAGTAAGTGTGGTGCAGCAATATGGGGATTGTAGGCTATAATCCAAAGCATTATGGGGTTTGTAGTAAAAACTGGCTGCAGATCAATTCTTTGCTTCTAGCTTCTCTAAACTGAAGAAACTACGATTTTGTTTTCTAACAATAGAAAAGAAAAATGCTACGCCATCTTAAATAAGTTAATTTTCATGAAACAAAGTTGGTATCACCATATGAAATTACAGTTGAACTAGAATAATATTCTGTATGAGGGGATGGAGACGTCAATAACGACCACTCTATAAGCTGCATAAGAACCCAAACCAGTGATTTCCTAAGTTACTATACTTTTGGCTAAGATTTCAAAAATTACTTTGGTTGTTTTAGCAGTAAAAGTGAACAAATAGCGGGTTTCGTATGTGTGGAGGAAAATTGTGAAAATTGAGAAAACGAACTTAAGTTTTTGAGTCCACCTCTATCTATTGATAACCTATATTTGATTTTCCACATTTCACTTGATTCCTCCATGAAGTGAGGAGGTATATTATTTCATCTATCTTTTTAGAGGTTTCTCTTTTTAAAATAAAAAGGCTCTGAAGATTCAGCATAACTTCTCATTTTAATGAAATCCTTAAGGTTGAATATCTGGAAAATATGTCTGGAATGGGATATTCCATTCCAGTTTAAATAATAGATCATGGAAATATATAAATTAAGAAGTTATAATTCAGTCCATCTTTTGTATGCAGATGCTGCTGTGAAGGTAAATACATAATTTATAGAGGTTCTGATTTAACTCTGTTGGCAATTGATTCCAAGTTCATTAAACATTTTCTGGATGATATAAATTCAAGGGCTAGCTCCCTAGCAAGGTTCTGTAAACGCAGCCCCACCTTTTGATATGAAAACTAAGATATATCTCCTCAAAGTCTCTTCCATATGTAAAAGTCCCCATTGTCATGCTAAGTTCCTAAGAAACTATTTTACACTTAAGGTTGCTTACTTTTCTTTTTCTCTTCTTAAAGAGGTCTCCATCCTTAAAAAGGTAGTGCTAAAGCAAACAATTACTACAGACATGAATAAATGCAAAACCAAACACCCTTCATTTTCAGGGCTCTTGCCAGCAACATTCATTTGAACCCCAAACCACCTATTCTCAAACGATGTACAGACTTGAGCATTTCAGCAAAATTCCACCACAAAGTTCAGAAATAATAAAGAATGCTAAGCAAAAGCACACAGCAACAGGAAGGAAAAATGCCATGCCCGCTTTTCTTTCAGATTTCCAAGTTTTGAATCACAAAAATATACAAATATATATCTTCTTGAATGCAGTTTACATTATTGTTCATACTGTGAATATTTCTTTTATGGTCATAAAAATAAAAGCAATGCCCCAAATGAAACACTATGTACATAAGTGATGCAAATGCATCCCGGTGGAAAGCCGGCTGGCTGCTGGTGGGAGGGTATATTTATACAGTGCCTTTCATTTGGAAGGTTCCCAAAATGATTTGCAAACTGTATATAGAGGAATTGCTCACCATGGAAATTCACCCACTTCCAGGAGAGAATGCAGAAGTCATCCCATGCTGACAACTAGTTCAAATAAAACCCCAGAACAAGATTTCAGGTGGGTAAAATTGTAATTGATTCAGGAAAGGTGCACTGAAAACCCACTGTGTGCCAAACACTGTTGGGGGTTCTCAGGATATTAGTGTAGCTGGATCTCGTTTTTTCTCCTGTTCTTCTAAAGCTTACATATTATTGAAATCAGACCAGAACTCAAGCGTTAAAAGTCCTATTTCTTGGTGAATTTCTGATCTCTGCATATGGTTCTATGGAAATGGA